TAACCTCATGAGCCTAACTATAATAAGTCTCTTGCGGTTATCAACCCCCCACCCCGGCACATTGGGTCACAAGAACATATTTCATAAACTTGAAGAGAATCACTGTTCATTCCCATCTTCAAAAAGGGATCTCGCAACGGCTGCGAGATAAGTTTGAACCCAATTATAGCCAAAGTCTTAGTCTTCATCATAATTCAACGTCTGACTTCTCTAAAAGAGACCGGTATCCGTGTACAGGAAGCCTCTCCGTGTTGTAGAAAACCATGTGTAAATCAACAGATGATGTGTAGACGATTCATGGGGGAGTGCACAGAGTTATTATGTAGAGTAGGTGTCTCCCGTCTTCAAGGTTGAGGTCCAAAAGGCTCCTTTACTGGATGGCTGGATATGACAACGAAACGACATGAGTGGCGTTCTTGTCGTCATTGCGTATCAAACCAGAATGCGTAGCGTTCTCTGTATGTCGACCACAGAGGTTCACTTTCCCCCTCTCTTTCCACCTTTGCATGCATTATGAGTCTTGCAGTGATCAGTGAAGTTCGCTTCACTATATTTCGCCGTACGGCGACGATGACGATGGTGATGATGATGATACTGGAAACAACCAAAGAGCCAACTGTCAAAAACTTTTGATTCAATTATCTGCATTTGTGTTAAAAAAGCAGCGTTTAAAGCGATCAATGGAAATCCGTTCCTACTTAGAGCCCTCAGACGAACGTCCCTTGGTGCTTGTGAATTCGAACCTTGTCCATTGGAAGTTAGTCACGCGGAGACCGTCAAGCTGATAAAATAATAGAATCTTTTGGTTTCTGTCGATACTCCGGAGAAAGTGGCAAAGTGGCCTTTAATTTAAAATTATTGAAAAGAGTTCATGTTATCCTATCCCGGTCGCAATGCTGACTTCGTGATGATCCACTCCTTGTTACTCTGGCTAGTGGTTAGTTTAGGTTGTGCGAGGCAGCTCCCAGTCTGTTTCCTCTCTTATTAACATCTATTTTCTCTGAATGCCACCGTTTCGTTGAATTTGATAATTTAACAATGCCCAATGTTTTTTTTCAAGTTTTTCAATTACTTGTCTTCCTTTTTCCAGATCGAAGTGGTCTGCAGCAATCAGGTGGACTGACCTCATCAAAAGGAACCACCGATGTTCATGCCTATCCCATGTCGTCTCAATCAAAGTTGAACGAAAGTCCTTTGCGTCGGGTGCTTAATCGCGGACCATCGAGAAACAACCTGTTTTCATTTTGGGATGGCGGTACTCGAGTTTACTGTCGTCTACCAAAATTATCGCGTGTGTGCATACCACCGGGTGTTTCAGAATCCTCATCTGATTTGCCTCCCCAGCCTGAAGAAAATGGCATACTATACGGTGAGAAAACCTTGACGGCGGAAGAAGAATCAACTGAGGTTTGTACAAGGCCAGCAGATAGTTCTGTTAAAGTTGTGCCCGATTCCACGAGTTTATTGCAAGATGAGAGTCTAACCGGTGCCGCATCCATCCCTGAAAACATTTCTACAGCTCCGGCAGTTTTTCTGCCTTCAAATAATGCCGATCCAGCCACAGCCTACCTACGCAGACAGCAAGTAGTAGCGGAAGGTGAATCAAACCATCGTTCTACCCGTGAAGATTCGTTGCTTAAGGGTGGAGATAGTCCTTCAGCCGATGAGCTTTCTTTACCGCTGTCGGATGTTATTCAATCTTCTCCCGGTTCTACGGACTACGCTAATCAATCAGTACGTCGGGAACCACCACCTTTCCAAGTCACGCGAGTCATAGCACATCATTACAGCAGCGATCACAGTCGGGGGAAGGAACCACAATCTTTTCTTGTGCGGAAACGATCGGTACTGGACGCTATGCCTGTCATGGTCCCTCCGACCAGCCCTACATTTGTGGATGGTGCAGTTGGCGAGTCGTGTTCATCTGGCATTGCCAACAATAAAAATATTGGAGTCACTTCAGGAAATATGGTCAACGGTATAGGTCTCATTGATGCGTTACCTGTTCACCCTAAAATTCAGCGTATTTTGAATGATGGAGGTGGTGGCTATCACAATGTGATGCCGCATTTTGTTACCAACGGTCTTCCCGATCCTCGGTCGGAATCGATGAAACCATCATCCCTACCCTCACCTACTGGCTCACTGCTGTCTAATGTCCCCTATTCTCACTGCTCTGATGCGACTGCTTTAATGTGCCGACCGCTCCTGCAAGGCGCGGGTTTGACAAACGGTGAGGTTGGTCCGCATCGCATATCTCCATCTGGTTTACCTACCGATCCGTCTATTCACCCGCACGAAGCTAAAGGACTTCCCAGTCATTCGTTGTGCACATCTGGGTGAGTTGGAGTTTTTCCCTGCTCCTGCACATGGTGTTTTTGTCTATAAGATGGTGGCACTGAATTTTTCATATCCAATGGAGCACAGATTGCTCAACGATACGTTGTTGATTGATTTCCAGGTGGCTTCTCCTATTCGGTGACATCCATGATTACCTTTGTCCAATTTATCGCTCGGGCGGAAAATTGTTCAAATTGTCCACCAAGGGAAGATTCTCATTGCCACTAAACTTACTTTGTCTTTTTTAGTGGGTTTATATTTCCGAAATTAACCGTTCTTTCTGTTTCTATTTGAACAAGTACCACCAAACCTTTTGCTAAAAGCAGCATCAGTGTCATTGCCCTCAGGGCAGTCTTAAAGCTCGTCAAGTCTTCTGTTGAACGCTTTTCTTTTGTCACTGTCTTTTCTATTGATCGTCAGCTCGCTACCTACCATACCCCCGGCAAAATCACACATGGTCAACGGTCTTGATCACGTCTGCACCCGTAATGCGAAGTTGTCCACTCTCCTGTCCACACGACTAGAAACGCGAATAAATGAGAGCATTGTAAGTCCATTCGGCTTTGTATACTTCTTTTGGTGTATGTTTGTGAAAATCATGTAATTACTTACGTTTTATTCCCCTCTTATTGAACAAACGCATGAGTAGTAAATTTTCGATAGGAGCACTGCGGCTAATACATGGGTTATCAGGGGACGTAAAGAATCGCTGGAGTTAGGTAGTGAAGGTGAGATTCGTTCACAAGATTATTGGTGGTCTTATAGCGCGTGAATATCGCCGCCGTTCTCGAGTCTGGTTAAACCTCTTATCTTCGTTGATCACGATTCTTTGGGGACAGCAAATTTATTTTTACCTGGTCTTCTCTTCCCTTTAATCATGTATTTGTTCTATTATATTCTCTAGCAGTAAATCAAAACTGAGCCATTTAACNACTGAGCCATTTAACGCTCATCTTTGTAATACAGATAAGACTTTATTCGAAATCTTGTTAGCCTTTCACCTCTCATCATCTATTATCCTGAATTCCGCATTATAATGGTACATAATTATACAGTTATTTCACTCTCGTCCCAGCCCAAACCGTGTATCAAAGAAATCACGATACAATGATCTGAGGTACAGAAGAAAGCGTAGGAGTGGATCAATTAGGGAAGTGTACCCCGACTCGGTTGAATGAGAAAAGGCGGTAGAAACTAGTTTAAGTTTGTACTGATGAAGATGATTTTATGCATCAAAAAACGGCAGTTGAAGTCACCCAGACACGGTTATCGGTAAACTGGAAGATTAGCTACTACCAGAAGGTAGTCTTTTATATTTCTTATTATATGAGGTTACCTTGGTTCAGTGAATTTTCAGGAAAGAGGTTACGGTCAGTCAGAGGCTACCTGGGGAAATACTGAAACGGGGAATCGGGAATCGTTCTCTTAAACCTACCAATTTGTTTTGTTCGTCCTCCTTTGGCCTACCTAGCCTGTCACGTCCTTTTTCCGATTTTGTTTATTCGTCTGTTTTGTGTTTATATATATACTTCTGATTATCCGTGCGCGGTCTCCCGTGCACATACAGAATTTCGGGAAATATCTCCATTTTAAGAATATCGAAAGATTCTCAGTGGGCGGCACTTCATTTTTCTATTTCCCTCACATGTGCGCGATTGTTTAGTCTGTTTGAAACAGGTTTCTGGCCTATCCTACTTTAGCTTGATTGATCTGTGACAGTATGTGCATACTGCCCTTGTCGGTGTTGGTTTTTACCAATTTGTTTATCTCTTGTTCTGTTGCAGCTGACTCACACTCGTGTATGGGTATACCCATCATGCTTCTCCGAGAAACCCATTTTTTATTGGTATTCTCGTTGGTTATATTGGGGAACATAGTTGGGATCAGTCGTATTAAAACCAGGTTAAGAAGGACCATCGATACAGAGGCGCACATATTTTAGATGGTAGTCTCGTTGTTGATTAAGAAGCTGTCTGAATTGATAGAATTACTGTGTGAAAATTTCAGTTTATTTATTGGTGATTTCGATGTGAAAAGCGAAACGACACTATTCATAGAGGATTGTCACGGTTTCAGTGGCTTCTCGGTGTAAGTTCATTTCTTTCTAATTCACCAGCCAGCCGTTGTAAATCTATCAGCCTCTGTCCAGCGGATCACTCTTTGCATCATACTTTTCATGAAACTATGCGTTCAGGTAAACGGGATACGTTTGCCGATGCACACTATTTGGTAGCAGTTCTAGAATGATCAGTTGATGGCCTGCTGGGAAGTTATTGAAATTCTTGAGCCATGCACTAGATAAAGATCGTACTGGTTGGGTTTCTTGAAGTTAGCCTCTTCGATCGAGTCATATGGCTTCCATGAACAGTGCCGTTTATTTACCTTTCTTATGCAACTAATGTGCACCAATATTTTGGTATTACTAGGTTTTTCTCATCCTTACTTTTCCATTCATTCATTGTTGCAGGACAACGGCCAGCAACAGAGTTACTGGTTATACAATAGCTTGGAATTTTGGGGTTGTCTAAAAGCTGTTGTTTCGTTACTGTAACTTTTGATTATGATGACCCGCAGTATAACTTCTGCGGTTTGCTGTCATTCCAGTCTGGGTCCCTAAGCAAAATTTCAATATAATGGTCGTTGCGAGAGTGCCAATTGAGGACTAAATGGTTAAGTGGTATCTCAGTTTAGTTTGTTCTTCTTGCTAGCCTCATGTATGACTATGGTTTATCATTTATCAACAGTTATCTTCATGGGGTTGATTCATCTTAAATAACCAGGTCTTTACATTCACTCTAATTGAGTTCAAGATACCAATGCAAATTGAATTATCGATGCATACGTTGGTACTCTGAAAGCTGTCAGTGTTCCCGGATGACGCATCTGCTTGTTAAGTTGATAAAACATCCGATGATTACGTTGCTTGATTGGAGTCATCTATCGCCCTCCGTCAGCCACGGAATCAGCCAATATGACCCTTTTGAACACTATG